CCTGACTCTCTAACTTTAACCCAGCACTGTGACACGGCAACAGCTGGCCAGAGAGCCAAGCAAGGGACAGGTCCAGAGGCAACACAGTAATAAAATGCTGGACAGGTATTCATGTTCCTCGTGAACAAGATGGAGGAAAGAGTTATGAGATGCATGGGGCTCCTCAGCCTCATGTGGCTCTCAATATAAAATTCACAAACTGGGCCAGGGATATAGCTCGATGGCACAGCACCTGCCTGTCAGGTGCAAGGTCATGAGTTCAATACCTGGTACCAAAAATAAATAAATCAAATCAAAAGAAATTCACAAATTGTGTATTTCTGAGATTTTCATGAAAGATTTTCAGACTATGCTTTCCCACTCTTAATTGAACCGAGTTAGGAGGTTCACCCGAGATTGGGCGGAAATACTACTAATTCGCACAATAGAAAGTTACTCTGCCATAAAAGGAAAGAGGTGCCACCTGCCACAACATGAAGGAAACCCAAATATGTTACCTCCAGTGAAATAAGCCACTCAGAAATGATAAGAGCATGACTTGATGACTTCCCATATAGGTTCAATTGAGAGAAAGGGAAAATACGGTGGTGACTGCCAGAGGGTGGGGGAGGAAGGAATGCAGACTATTGTCTACCGGGTTAGGGCTTCAGTGTTACCGATCAAAAGAACCTTGGATGGTCAATGTGCTTTTAGGACATTATAACACATTGGACAATGTATTCGAGGATGAATTAACCCAAGTGAGGCGGGAGGGACAGCAAGCTTGGTCCACTACAATCACCTGCGGAGAATGGCATGAAGGCCTCACGTTTCACAAAGTGGCCCTCAGCATCCAGAAAATATCCAGGGTGGAAATGCAAGGGCTTCTCCCAGACAGGCTCATCATTCAGCACATTATAATACATTGTGAAAGTGTAGCTCACTGTGTCTGCTGATTCTATGAAATGCTTTGAGTTTACCACAGAGCATGATGAAAAAAAATTGTGGTAGAGGTAGATGCCACAATGAAATGAAATAGGATGGATACTCATAGGGCTCTGATCATCTATTTTGCTGAAGAGCTCAGAGGCAGACCTGTGCCTCAGTCACCATGGCATGTCACTACTGCATCCTGCACGTGCCAAAGCAAATGTCTGACTCCTGTTGAGCACAAGGGAAACCTTCGCTAAGGACTTGGATTATTTTTCCAGTTAGGATCAGTTTGGAGATGCTCACCATTTGTGCCAGCAGCCTGGCCTTAGTTGGGTCCTGAACTCCCTCACTATAACTCAGAGTGGAAGGTAACTGAGTCCCTGAGGTCAGCCAAGTCTGTGCACTGTGTCGATGGATTGCACCTCGAAAAAATCCTTGGACACCAAGGTTGGACTGCATCACCCCTGGCAAGGAGTGCTCATTATGTCAGTCACCTCTGTGGATGGGAGAACTAATCATCTGGGTAATTTTCCTCAGACAGCGCAGCTGAACCTTGTGTGTCTCCCAACCCTGTGCCTCTCAGTGCTGCTGATTTGCATGTGTACTGTGTCACTGTAATGAACCATAACAATGAAAAAAAGGACATTGCCATTTCTACTGTAATTTCTACTTACTCACTAAATCTGAAGATGAGCCTGGGCATCACCAGCATCATCCAGCACCCTGCAAGGAACCCCTTCACACTCAGTGACTACCTGACATGCATAGAGCTTAGACTGCAACCTAGGGTATGCCAAGAACTCAGGTTCAGTTGTGGGTATCCATGGGTGACATGCGGTGAGATATCACCTGCTAAGCATCAGAACATGCATTTGTCATGGGTTGACTGCAATGATCAGATCTGGATGGATAAGGCAGGAAATCAGGGCTAACTTTACAGGTATGGATAATAGTATCACACATGGCATTTGAATAAAGACACAGACACCAAGTGACAGTCACAAGACTGGTTTAATGTACATTAAGTCTCCCATCTAGTGGGGTATGTTTCATCCTCTAGCAGGGCACAGTGCGGAGCTCGTAGGGGGATGGAGACACTAGGAAAGAAGGTACACCATGGTCACTTGGCTGGGACTGCCCTTCAGGGAGAGAAGCTAAAGGGCTGCAGCAGGGAGGTAAAGAAGAGAAAGAGCTCCATGCAGGCCAGGGGCTTCCTGAGGCATGTGCACGGACCTGTGGGTGGGGCAGGGATCAGACAGACTGAAGCCTGAGCCCCTTCCCAGCAAGGCCTGGAAGGGGCAGCAACCCTGGTTCACAACAATCACCTGCAGAGAATGGCATGAAGGCCTCACATCTCACAAAGTGACCCTCAGTAAGCTATAAGAAATAAAACAGGGTTGTGGATGCAGGACACTGGTAAGGCCCTGGGTTCAATACGTAGTACCCAGTGCCACCAGAATAGAACAAGGAAACCCTGGCTTTCACCAGTGTAGACCACGGAGGTCACTTGAGGTTGGAGGAGCCTGAAGAAGAGCTGCAGAGCCATAGACTGTGTGAAACATCTTTTATTCAGCTGCTCATCCAGAGTCCACCTGGTTAGCCATTCCTGCAGCCCTCACCACTGTATATGCCCAGCAGTCCTTGGCCACTTAGTCTCCATTTATATCAGACTGACCTCCATGGCCATGTGCCAGTAATGGCCTTGGTTATGTAAGTTGTTTACACCAGTCAGCATCGACCTTTGCTACAGAGGACATTATTTACACTCACCCATTGGGAGAGGGGCCTGCCCTGGAAATCCACTGACAGGAATCAGTGAACCTGGAAGTCACCTGCCCCCAGCCTGGACCAGTTCAGCCATCCCTACACCACGTCTCATGCTCCTTCTGGTGCCATGGGGCTGATGGTCACTGCAGGCTGCAGTTTGTCAGGGCCACCATTGAGCTGGACAGGTGGATGCAATGGACAAGGGCAGTTAAGAAAGATTCCTGCGCTGACTGTGCTTTCCATGGTTCACCCACTCCTCTGAATAAGCAATCAAGGTGGTGAAATTTTATATAATTTCCACATTTCAGGAGCAGATAGGTCAGGCCGTGATGATTTGGGAGAGAGTGCTGGCCATGGACTTTAGAGGCTGTCAGATAGCAGGAATGTGTTGTTTCATGGAGCTGCACTGGGCCCTGTACTTCTTATGACTGTGGCTGTGTTTGTGTCTTGCTGGGACAGTTAGTTCCTAGAGGTAAGTTGTCCCCTGATATCACTACTTGGGTGAGGGGTCCTGACGGGTCTCTCACGGCTTCAAATATTCCTATTCAGGCAACAATGGCCGCTTGAGTAGCTGGACACTTACTCACTGCACACACTTCTCCTTGGTGCTCGCTGTCAGCTGATCAACGCCCCGTGACACCATGAAGGGAGCTGAGGGGAAGCACTGTGAGATGGCCTTAGGCTGCTCCTGACTCTCTGACTTCAACCCAGCACTGTGACACGGCAACAGCTGCTCAGACAACCAAGCAAGTGACAGATCCACAGCCAACAGGGCAAGCACATGCCGCACACGGATATACGCGTGCTTGGTGAACAACACGGAGGAAAGGGCTACGAAATTAAGTGGCTGCATCAAGGGGCTTCCAATTTAATATTCACAAATGGTAGACTTCTGAACTGTTCATGACAGATTTTCAGTCTGTAGTTTCTCTCTCTTAATTAAACCAAGTTAGGAGAAACTGCACAGCGGAGGACTACACTTCACAAATGGAAAACTACTCTGCCTGAAAAGGAAAGATGGACTGTATCTGCTACGCTGTGAAGGAAACCTGAGCAAGGTTGCTCACGTGAAATAAGCCAATCAGAAAGACAAACAGTGTACGCTTACACTGTGGTGACTTCCCGTAGTGGTCAAATTCACAGAAACAGAAAACTGAACAGTGGCTGCCAGGGTGTAGGACAGAAAGGAAAGCAAGCTGTTGTCTAAGCAGCTGAGGGCTTCAGTTCTGCCTGCGCAAGACAGCCGAGATGGTCAGTCTGCTTTGTGTACATCATAGTATGTTGTACACCACTGAACAGAACATCTAGAAATGGGTAAGATAAGGCTTTGAAGATATGAAGGGTTTAAGCTTGACCATCAGTAGGAGGAAAAAAAAATGGGATGAAGATGCTAAAGGCTAGGGAGGTGTCATTCCACAAGGACATAAAATAGTATGGATGCTCATGTGACTGAGCATTTTGTTTCAGAGCCCAGGACAGGACTGTGCCTTAGTCATCATGGGAAGCACCTGCATTGGACCCTGCACGTGCCAAAGTAAACAGGTGACTCTTGGTGGGCAGTAGGGAAACCTCCCTAAGGTTTTTGCCCAGAACTCCTGATGAGATGATCCTGTAGGCAAAACCTCACCATTTATGCCAGCAGGCTGGCCTAGGCGGGCCCCTGGACTGCTGGAATATGACCCAGAGTGGAGAGAAACTGAGATCCTGAGGCCAGGCAGGTCGGTGCACTGTGCCAATGGAATGCACCTACAGAAAATCCCTGGGCACTGAGGCTGGACTGCATCTGCCTCTTTGGGCTGGGAGAACTGACCATCTGGATGACTGCTCAGACAGCGCAGCTGAACCTTGTGTCTGTCTTCCTGGACTCCAACCCTGTGCCTTTCAGTGCTGCTAGTTGCATGTGTACTGTGTCATTGTAATGAACCATAACAACACATACAAGAACATTACCATTTCCACTGTATTTTCTAGCTACTCACTGAACCTGAAGATGACCTCAAGGATCACCAACATCATTCAGCACCCTGCAAGAGATTCTGATTATTTCCAAGAAAAATGCTTCACACTTAGCCCCTACCTATCACCCATGGAGCTCAGACTGCTCCCTAGGATTTGCCACCAATTCAGAAGCCCATTTTGGGTCTCTCTGGGTGACACCGGGTGAGCTCTCAACTGCTGAGTATCAGTATATACATTTGGCTGGTTGACTGTACTGATCAGGTTGGGATGGATGAGGCAGGGAATCAGGGCTGGCTTTGGACAAGGGGGTGAAAGCATCACACATGGGCTTTCAGTGAGGAGGGCTGGACACAGACACCAGGTGACAGTCACAAGACTGGTTTACTGTACATCCCATCTTGGGTACAGGAAGGAACACAGCACCTCTTCTAGCGGGCTACAGCACACAGCTGGTAGGGGGGTGGAGACACTACGAAGGAAATCACACCACGCTCACTGGGCCGGGGCTGCCCTTCAGGCACCGAGAAGCTGAAGCGCTGCAGCAGGCAGGTGAAGAACAGGAAGAGCTCCGTGCGGGCCAGGGGCTCCCCGAGGCATATGCGGTGGCCTGTGGGAGTGGACAGGGCACAGTTACATTGAGGCTTGAGCTCCTCCTCACCAAGGCACCCTGGAAGGGATAGCAAGTGTGGTCAACTACAATCACCTGCGGAGAATGGCATGAAGGCCTCACGTTTCACAAAGCGGCCCTCAGCGTCCAGGAAATGTCCAGGGTGGAAGTGGAAGGGCTTCTCCCAGACAGTCTCATCCTTCAGCACTGATGACAGATTGGCGAGGAGCATAGTTCCCTGGCAGGAGACACACAGCATGAACATGGCGTGAGATGCAGGACACAGGAACCCTGACACTTAATATCCACCAGCACACTCTATGAGGCTCACAGGTGGGTGTTGTACAGAGTCACAAGGAGCCTCTAAACTATCTATTAGGCCCAGAAGCTTCTCAGGACCATCCATGAGCACATGGCAAGGCCAGAGGACAGGGATGCCAAGGAAGCCCAGAGTCCCACTTTTCCCCCTAGACACAGGATCCTCCAACAACTCGTCACTTGGGTTAATTCATCCTCCAAATACACTGGGGGATCAGAGAGCACAAGGCAGCACTGTGTGCAGCACGCCACACACACAGATTTGGCCTGCACCAGTGATATCAAGGCCAGGTGGCACAACACTTCTTGCCACACTTGGAAGTGGCCATTCTGGAGAAGGAGGGCGCCAGTCCTACCTTGGGGATGAGGAATCCCTGCACCTCGGTGTCACGAGATGTCATGTGTGGAGCACTCATTGGGGCAATGTCTGCAAAGCGTTGCACCTCGTGAATCACGGCACTGGTGAAGGGCATGTGGGCCTGGTCCGCCATCTCTGGGCATCGATCCTGTCCGATCACTTCATCGATCTCCTTTTGCACATGGCCTGGACAGGTAAGTAACCCCATACAGGTCAGTCCCTGGAGACCAGGCGCTGAGCCTCCATTCTCCAGTGTTAAAGGCTGTGTCCATGTGACAAGGACATCACCCTTTCAGTAGCCTTGGTGGAGCCTCTCCTTTGAACCATGAGTTTCCCAGATCAGCTGTCCTCACTTCTCCTCCTTCCAGTTCCCATCCATTCTGAGCCCAACTTACGCTGCACATCTGGGTGCAGGATCATGAGGAGCAGAGCCCAGTACAATGTGACTGATGTGGTCACCATTCCTGCAGCAAACAGCTCAAGAACTACTAGACGAAGATTCTCATCATTGAAGGTGCTCTTGGAGTTCCCCTGGGCCTGAGACAGGCAGAGAGGGTGGCCTCAGTGAAAAGTGGGAGGAATGGCTCAAATGTCCCCATGCACCACCTCTGGGCACAGAAACTGGGTCTCTGGAAGATGCTGAGGCCCCACGTGGCCTCACACCTCCCGGAACACTTGGCTCACAGACCCTGATCCCTTCTCTCACAGCCCACTCTCACCTTAAGCACCTCCATCAGGAAAGCATCAATCAGATCTCGGGGAGGCTGGTCTGGGTCCCAGCCTGAGTTGTGCTCAGCCAACAGCTCATCATTCAAAGCCATGAAGGACCTCTGTGCAGGGAGGACTTTGGCAGCCACCCATGGGATGCGCAGGAGCAGTGGCATTGAGTTCAATACCTGTGACAGCACAGAGGCAGCCTGGGTGCTTCCTGTGCTCCAGATCCACAGGTGTCATCTCACAGCCAGCCCCCTCCATGGTGACACAAGGCCTGGCACTGCACACCTTTGCCTCAATCCCTCCACAGTGCCAGCGTCAAAGCTCTCTCCTGCTGCTTAGCTACCACAGGAACCTCCTAGCATGGAAATCTCATAAGTATGGGTCACTTCCAGCATGGACACAGGCTCTACTCCTCTCTGCAGCCCTGAGCCTGGGCCTCCTCTCCCATTACTGCTGTCTGCTTGGCCACCACCAGCCCTTTCTTCCTGCAGTGATCCTCCCTGATGCTTTCTTCCCATCCCTTCTGCAGGCATATTAGCTTCTCAGAGCCTTCCTGCAGGAAGCACTCCCTGCATAGATTCTCATCAATCCTGCACCTGAAGCATGAAGGCACTGTCATCCACCATGAAGTCCTCCAGGAATTTCAGCAACCTGACAAAGTTCGGGTCATCATACTCAAAGTGGCGTGCGTAGATGAGGGAGGCAATCACATTGCACACAGCTTTGCTCAGCAGCCCGTAGGGGTGAAAGGGCCGTCCTGGGAGTAGGAATGCATGTTAGAGTTGCCCCCTTTCTCCCAGTGACTTCATTGCACTGTCCCTTCTTTGTGTCCCTGAACCCGTCACCCACCATCATGGCTGGCAAAACCATCACAGAGACAGGCGGCCTCCTCGTTCACCCACTGCTCCAGAGACTTCTTCCCCAGGCCGAAGTTGCGCATGGTGGACACACAGAAGCGCCGCTGCTCACGCCAGGCGGGCCCATAGGGTGCCCCTATAACCCCTGAATGGGAAGCAGTGTCAGTAGCAGAAAGTACTGGAATCCTTGTACCATCAGCCCATCTTGCCTGCTGATCTGACACCAACTTTGTCTCCACCTCAATGCTACAGCTCCTTTTACAGGTTTTATGCCCCAAACACAAGGATGTTAATTGCAATATGAAGTAACCCCTCTTCCCCTTTAGTCACTGTCCCTGGGGTTCTACCCTGATGCCATCTGTGCCCTATTGACCTTTACCTTTGGCTTTTGGTCCAAAGCCAATGACTTCGTTAGTGGGTGTTCTCGGCCGATCTGAGGTGTCCTCGCCTTGGTCCACCAGAGCCTCCCGCACAGCCGCCAGCCCATTGACCACAACCACTGGAGTCCAGGCAAACTGCAGGCTGAACACGTCCCCAAACTGATGTCGCAGCTGGAGGTGGAGGGACAGGGCGCCTGTGAGGCTGGGATTCGCGCCACAATGTGCATCCCCATCTCACTCCCAAGACCTGGAGACCCAGTTCAAAACGTGGAAGAACCAGCTGCACTGTTGTCGGTTTCCTTTTCCTTTATGGTAGTGAAGGTGGCACTGACAGCCTCGCCCCAGCTAGACAAGCACTCTAGCCCACTCCGCGCGGACACCTAGTGTCTGCATGCTGCCGTCACACCTTCTTACGGTCAGATTGATTACTTCAGATCTAGAGCCAACTACCCAAGTGTGTCCTGTGCAGAGGACAATCATTGAAGCCAATTCTGTCCCATTTTTCAGATGAGGAAACTCAGGTTCTCAGATAATACCAGAGAGGGCTAGGACTCCACGGCAGCCAAAGGATCTGACAGTGCTCATAGCACCTCTCACAATGTCAACTTTCTGAATCAAATGCTGCTTAAGACCATCTTGCTCTGCTCCTGCATCCCCAGGTACTTCCCTCTGAGGTATCTAAAGGGGACTGGTGTGTACGAAGCTTCTGTCCCATTTAATCGGGTACCTGTCCCGCTGTACATCCTGCTCAACCTGCTATCCTCTGCCCTCCTGCCCCTTTGCTAATGGAAAGACCAGAGCCTTTTCTGCTCTGCTAGAGTCCTCCTCCACACAGGTCCTTTGCCTCCCTCCTCTTGGGCTATGAGGTCATTCTCTACACAGTGTCTTCACCTAACACTCTCCGCTGTTAGGCCGACAGAGGGTCACCTGGCCTTGGCTGCTCTCCACCACCAGCTTCCTCACCTTATAGCAAGAGTAGGCCATGTTCTTGAGGTCCACCTGCAGCAGGTTGCCCAGCCCAGGCACAGGCACAGGGCCTGGTGGGTAGCGAGCAGCCCAGCGTTGGCGCCGGTGCATCAGGTCCACCAGGAGCAGGAACACAGCCACGGCCACAGCCACAGAGAACAGTGCGTCCCCAGTCAGCAACCCCATGGCTGCCTTTGCGACCACTGGATTCCACTGCACCAATGGAACTTTTACCACCCTAATCAGCCTGAAGCACACTCTACAACTCCCTGCATGTTGCAGCAGACCAGCTGTGCTCTTACAAAGCAGCTAAGGTTGCCCTTTGTCCTCTGTTGTGAGACAACCTCTGTGTTCGTTGTGCAACTGGAGAGTACAGAGAGGGACAAGGACAGAAGAGTTCCACAGGCTCTTGCCCCAAAGTTCCATGGAACTAGACAATCTGGTTATGTGGATTTCATCATTAGGCCATGGTGGATCACTGCTCCAAGAAGCACAGTCAAAAGCAGGGGAAGGTCAGGGAGCTGATAGGCCAAACCAGCAGGACTCTGGCAATGTGCGATGGTTTATCACACTGCACTAAGACAGTTATGCAGGCTCCATGGAGAATTTTGCTGTCCAACATGGATTAACTGGTGTCCAAGGATTCTCAAAAGCAACGTCCAGCAGGTCCAGCTGCTTTCCAGCCTTTCTGACCAGGCCACAGACAAACAGGTCACCCTGAGCCTCTTCTCCATGTGAAGCACACAAGCACACTCACACACAGGGAACCTCGATCTGACCACCCTGGAGGACAGAAACGAAGACCTGTTCCCAGGACACAGATGCCTGAAGAATGTCAGCACCAAGCAGTGCTCATGTCAGGACTCGACCATGAGGAGTCCAGGCTTCTTCTCCGTAGAAGGTGAGAGAGCTTGTGCATCAGAGCCACGGCAGTTCCACTTGTCTTTGTGATACAAGTGGCGTTTTGCTTGGAAAGATGTAAGATTCTTGACTCCTTACTTCAACTCACATTTAACTGGACCTTCCATGGAGAAGCGTGTGCCTTTCTTTCCAGCCACTGTTTCACATCGTCATCTGAAGATTCCTCCTGAGAAGCCCGGCCAACTTGAAAATAATTTACAAAAACCATAATGCAAAACTCATCAGGGCATATTGAGGCTGTGTGATAGCAGCTGCTCCAGCTAGAGAAGGGGATGTGAGTGGGTGGAGCAAAGAGACTTTTAGAGCACAACAGGAGGTTGGAGAAGAGTTTCCAGGCTGGGGACAACGGTTTTCATCCTCAGTGGGGATAAGAGATTGTGCTCAGGGGCCCTGTCTCTGGTCACACATGCAGCCCCTGGACTCCTCGGATGGTGTTTTGGTGCAATTTCTCCCCACATCCAAGCAGCACATGAAGCATGCACTGCACCAGTGGACGAGAGCCAGAGTGCCCCTCACTCTCCTAGATAGCGGTTGCCCAGCGCACCATCCCTATTTGATTTGATGCGCCTCAGTCAGCAAGGTGATTGACTCAGGACATAACAGGCTTTTCTCTTCCCCTGCACCTTGACCAGGTGGTCACTATTGGTAATGACATGGTGCATAGCGCTCATGAGCCCACAACGTCATCTCATGGTGAAGTGTTGGGGGGAAAGTCTGAGCTCAGCCTCATGGCCAGCACCTGTCACTGCCCACTCCAGCCCCACTACACTGCAGCACCGACTTTTCCCAAACATTGCTGAGTCCATGTGTTTCAGCACTGGACCTCCTGTGCTGCTCCTAATCAAAAATCCTCACCCACTGCCCCTCAGCCAGAGCACAGCCACAGGACATTCCCCTGGCTTGGGCAGGAAAGTGGGTATTTTGTGTAAAAAAGCACATGGGAAAAAACTGTTGCTGAGTCACAGTAAACACTGTGAGAAAAAAAATAACAGCATGGAGTACAAATCCCTGTGGGATTAAGAAACAAACTTTCATGCCCCTGTACCTTTGACACTTGCGTTCAGGGCAGCAGGGTGCACAGGCTTCTCTGCACGATGTGGCAGCACTGGGCAAGTGACACAGAAGCTCTACCCCCTTCCTGAATACAGGGACAGGTGTGTCTGGAACACTCTAGGTCACAGGAAAACTGGCCCAGTAGGACAAAGCACAAAGGCCCACACTGCAAGGAAATCTCCTTTCCAGAGCACAGGTCTCTGTTTTCAACCATGGTCACATCTTCCTCATCTTCCGAGTTGGAATTCTTCCAAATCCCACCTAGGTACGCTTGCCCTCTGTTCTAACTATTCCTGCGGCCCTACTTTTTCTCTTTGCAGAAAAAATTCACACAGAAGGAACAGATCTGGATTCACTAGAATTAACATGTGCTAAACACGTTGTGTGACAAGCACACTGCACTGTTACAGAACTCCCATAACATTTCATTGTGGTGACAATCCCCGAGGGACAGACCAACCTGGGACTCACAAATCTCACAGGAACTTGAAAAGGGGAAAAGGTGGCAAGGAATGTTTCTGCAAAAATGATCCAGTATTCCTAAAACACATCAAACTGCTTCAGTGACGGCCTCTTTCATCCCTGTTGCAGCCTCTCCCCTGGTTCACTTTCTCCAAACACTGGGGGAGTGGCTTTTGCACTCACGTGTGATTAGGCCCTTATGGGGCCTGGGTGTTGCTCTGCACCTATCACACAGGTGATGCCACCCTGGGAAGGCAACTCCCCTTTCACCTGGCTTCAGGGGACACAGACACCTCCAGCTTGGCCTCTCAAGTCCAAGTCCTGGACCCACCATCATCCCCAGAGCAGTCTCTGATGACTCACAGAGCAGGGACCATCAGCTGTGGTGCCACCTAGACCTGTTTCTCCCTCCTGGAGGAGACAGAGCTCTGCACGGGCCCCTGGCTCATTCTCCCTCAGCTCTTCAGCTCTGCAGCACGGCATTGCACTGCAGGCTCCACAACCTTTATTATACTTCAGATCTAGAATGTTCCAAAGAATACCATGTGTTTAAAGGATGAGCTTTTAAAAGGCAATTGGAGCATAGGGGTGCTCTCCTCATCAGTGGAGTAGTGCACAGACAAATCCACAGGGAAATGTGCTGTCAGCAGGTTAGGCCTGGAGGGAAGCGGAAATATCGGATTGTGACCCAGCACAGTATGTGTCCCTCCCTGGCTCCTCTCCCGTCTCTGCTTCCCTGCTGCCAAGATGCAAGCAGCTTTTCTCTGCCAACCCTTCCACCACGCCTTTCCTGCACGGCAGACGGCAGGCTGTGCACTCAAGTCTCTACAGGCTGTGAGCTAAAGACCCACGTCCTACTTTAATTCGTGGTCGTACAGTAACGTGTCCAGGGAAGGGGAAACTAAGACAGCATCTGAAAGAGATCACAGCCAGAGAATACTGACCTGGCACAGACAGAGAAACAAGTGTTCTGTCGGGTCCTTCAAAACAGGCTCATTTTGTTGGGGACCACAAATTATAAACTGACACCAATCTATGGTTGAGACAGTGCTTGTCCTGTGTTATGCTCCAGTCAGAATGTAGAAACCGCCCCTCAAGCACAATTTGTACTTGCTGCTTTTACAGCACATATTTTGAATCCACAAACAGAAAGTAAATACACTCCTGCTCCACTGTACTGACACCCATACAGACCCTCCAGCGAGGAGAACTTTCCTGAGAGGCTGAGGGACTTAGCACACCAGTTCCCAGGCCTTGATTATGGCAAACCTGGGGCTAAACAAAGTATTGTGTTGAATCTTGCTGTGCCCTAGATTGTGGGGATCAATAGATGGTCATAATATGTGCCCCACTAAGGGCACTGTTAATATGATAGTTAAACAGAGTCACAGCCTAAAAACTTCAACATGTTTTTACAATCCTTATATTTTCAGCACAGAACTACACTCTAGAAAAAAACTTCCATGCACTTGTGCTTCTGGGTCAGAACCATACTGGTGGCAAATTCATAATCACCATACACCCTGAGGTGTTCCTCGATGTCGGCATTGGTGGGCATGAAGTTGGCCACATAATGATTCATACTCTATACAACAGACACCAAGCTTCAGGCACAAATGTGTGTGCTAGAGGCCATAGTCCTTTAGATGTGAGAATAAAATAACAGTGCAGTACAATAAGGCCTTAAGGATCACTATTGTGTTACCTGATTTTACAGAAGTCCCTAACTTGTCTATAGCCAGTCTGCTCACCTTGCACTATGTGTAGTCTGCTCACCTCTGAAAACATATTAAACATAGTCAGGGGGCTATGCCCCAAAAGAGGACTCTAGACGTAGGTGTTTTACAAAACAAATCATCTGTGTCCCAACCAATGTAGAATTTTGATGAACACCTATAAGGTTGAGATCAATTTTATGATATCCTGGAACAAGTAAATCCTTTTTAAGTATCTCGAGGCTCACTTCTTGTTCTGTGTTACTATATTCACAGTAATTTGTTTCTGTCTTCTGCTTTCTTCTTAGTCTGCACCACAGAAACTCAAACCTTACTGTCTAAAGGCTTTGTAGCCACAGCTCACTGTCATTCAACTTCTGCGATCAAATAAATGAAAGGGAAAAACTGTAAAGGACCATGAATCAAAAACTGTGCATCGGGTCCATCCAAAAGCAGCACTTTTCCATGCCTAGTGTGCTAGTTAGAATGCAGGAAATCCTGCTTTACCAGGATAAGAAGGTTAAGAACTCAATGGTCCCTAAAGCCCTGGCACTCCCAGGGCAGCATGAGATCTTCTGAAGAAATGACAGGGGGGACAAGGTACCCAGGTGTATGAAAGCATGTGAACTTCTTGCTTTTCTGATGCTGTCACCACGACCAGGAATCCAACAGAATTGCCACTGCTGTGCCCTGATTCATTGACCCCTCTAATAATGTGTACACGTGTTCAGTAAATAGTGGCAACCTCAGAGAGTCCTCGCCTTTGCCCATCCTGAGGCACTGACCTCACAATCCCCACTGTGTGCATTCTTAATTTTGTCTTTTATTTCATTCTTGATCATATTCCTCATACAGGTAGCTGAAGGTCTTAGGCAGGTCCCAAGCACAATTCCAATCTGGGCAAACTCTTTCCAAAGTGCCCTCATGGCAACACAAGGCCTCCTGTCACAACCACTGGACTGATTTACCTCTCTGGTCCCTTCTAAGGGACACAGTCCCCTGTGGGGACCTCTCTGCATGCTGCCTCCTCACAGCGATGCATTCCACATTCAGAACAGAGAGAACACAAAACGACCTGACTTTCTTTTAAATTTAATGTTTTTGGAGACAAGGTCTCACTGAATGTAACTCAAGCTGACCTTCATCTCAAAGCAATATTCCTGTCTTTAGCTCTTGAATGTGGGAATTATAGGTGTGTGCCAACATGCCAAGCTTTGAAAATACCTGCTTCTCTACATGCATCCTCTAGAAGTAAAAACGATCCTACATGCAAAACAGTGTTTTTGACAATGGTGATGAAGTTTTTCAGGGCCCCATTCCTTTCTGTTTCAGACAAATGAATAGGGTGAGGGTTGTGTGTTTGGAGTTATGGAAGAAAATTCCAGGACCAAGGGACTCAAAGGTGAGAATTCTATTCATCAGCACTATGAGCTGGACAGCAGTGCTATGCGGCCCCATTCCCCTAATGCTGAGAAATCACACGCCAAACTAGCAGATTCAAACACAGCAAATTTATACTTTAAAGACATGTCATAGCACAGGGGATGTCAGCTTGTGCCAACATGATCTGCTACGGCTACTGGGACTGGGATCACTCCTTTTTATTGGGGTTTTGCCTACATCTCCAATCTCCCAAAAGAGTACATGGCAAAGTCCCAAACAAATGAGACAAGTAGCATGATTTTTAGGGTTCCAGAGGACGAAAATAGAATTCTTAATTCTGGTGGCTGAGACAAACAAGGTGTCTGAGAGGTCCCAATTTATTTAGTATTCAAACAAGGAAGGGGTTAGAGTGGAAAATGCAGGAAACCTGGGAGGAGTTCAAGGACCCCTCCAAGCAACAACAGACAATGCTAAGAGAACTCTGCTAGGAAAAAGTCTCCAGGTGTCCTCAGCTGTCGTCTGTCTTACCCTCTGAGGTGTCTCCTTGTTCTAAGTTCCACCATGCCCAGGCCATGCCACAGCCCTGCACGTGTATTCAGCTTCAATGGTTCCAACATCTTTTGGTCCTGTTTAATAGAATTATATTCCCTGATGTATCATTTAGACATTCCATGCCTGTGCTCTTAAAGTAAGCCTATAATCATGAGAGTTTTTTAAAAACTCAACAGCGAATCTCAAAGGCCTATCCTAGGGAAATCTGCCAAAACTCTTTGCATCTCATGGCTGAGGAGGCAGCGTTTCAAATATTCAGGATTTCTGTTACTTATGGGTCAATAAGACAAAATTCTGAGACTCTGGTTGATGCGGTACATGCTTGAGTATTTCAGGGAGGAGACACATACCTAACTTTGTCTTGCAGAAACAGAAGACAACAAGTGGGTGAACAGAAACATGATAAAGTACTATGGACATGTGGCTCTCAAACTTCCCAGTGTGAGGACCCTAAAGGAAGGGAGAAAGTGAAGAAATAAAGGTAAGAAACAGAAAGCTGAGATCAGATGGAGCCCTCCCTCCAGAGGGGAGGAAAGGCTTTGCTCATCCAATGCAGTCTGTCGATTTATACAGCTAGCAACTTAAAGTTAGGTGATACCCTGTTATCCAGCCATCTGCCTCCATGGTACCCTAAGGCTGTGGTACTCTCTGGACTGGAGCACCTGTTTGCCTGGTGTGCTCCCTTGCACTCAGGGTATTCTTTGGACCCTCCAATCTTAGGCTCCACACCTGTGATCACTAGTTCAGCCACTTTCAAGAAAACTACAACCATCCATTAATTGTGCATTTCAGCTATGGCCTGTGAAGGTCCACTGTAAAATAACTTGTGTGTTCACTGTAAAATTTCTGACTGTTTCAAATGTTTCCATTTCAAATGTTTCCATCAAATGTTTCCAAAGTAAGGAGGGGCATTTCTTCCAAGGTGGCCAGTGACTGATAATACTTTTTCTGTAGAGGACAGAGAACAGCAGAAAACCACCGGTTTTCTCTCTGCTTGAGTCTTAGGTTGACTCCAAGACAAGAGATAAGATACCAAAAGAGAATCACGGGGCCTGTGGTTTTAGATCAACGGCATAAGCACCTACCTGGTAAGTGTGAGGTCATGAGTTCCATCCCCGGCACACAAACAAACAAAAAAAAAAAAAAAAAACCCAGTCACATTTGCCATCCACCACCTGACCCCACTGGGCTCCAGACACCTGCAAAACGCCCATCAAAGCCGCCCATTCCTCGTGGCCCAGGCCTCCCTCCTGCCTCCTCCGGGACAGAAACCCCCACTTCTGCGGAGCTGGAGAATTCTCTGCGGCGATTCCCAGACCCAGCTGCCCTCACCGCGTCCTGCATCTTCCCACTCCGAGCCTCTGGGAAGCCCGCCAGGCATCTGCCCTTCAAACAGCGCCCAGCTGCCACTGCAGCGCCTCAGGCTCAGGTCACAGGGCCACAGCGCGACAGCGACACCTGCTGGGCGGCCCTGGACCCCGCTGCTCCCCTCTCCCGGGTGCCGGGAGCCCGGCTCCATCCCGGGGCAGCGGGAGCCACCAGGTCCCCGCGGGGCTCGGCGCCTGCGGTGCTGGGAGCCGCCTCCGCCCTTCTGCAGGACACAGCGCCGGCCTCCCGCTCAGCCTTCCGCACAGAGCCCGGCGGCCGAGGACGCGGCGGGACTGGGGACCCACGATGGCCTCACCCCGGGGCGGGAAGGCTGGCGGCCCTCAGGAGGCTGGAGCCTGGAGCCCCGGCTCGCGGTCTCCCGGGGTGACGGTCCCTGCTGTCCCGCGCAGGTCGCCCCGGTGAGGAGAGACTGAAGCTGTGAGGCTGCACTGGAAGGATGCTTAGGAGAAGCCTCTATAAGGGGGAACCTCGGCCTGCTCCCGGGATTTGTAGTTAGCTGGTTCGCAGACTTGCAACGCCCTTTGGGAGTTGTAGTCCAGTCATTTCTACACAGTGGGGGACGGGGTGGAGAGGGAGGGTTTCCTCCTGCCTACTGCGGGCTCCGAAGGGAGGCGGTAAGGTAACTCATGTCATGGGAGGAAATGGTCGGAGTAAAGCGAGCTTTCTATTACTGATGACAGAAATAAAAAAAATGAAACTATAGGATGACATATTTCAGTACAATTAAATAGACTGCTAACCAAATTTTCTCTGTGTACCCGTTCATGAATGAAGAAGTCAAGACGATGCCATGAAACAAAAGTTGAGGGAGTTCATTATCAGCTGCCCTGCCTGCCTCGGAATGTGCTGTAGGAGGAGCTGTCCAAGCGGAAGTGAAACCACAGCAGACCAGGGAAGAAACAACGCTGGACAAGGGAACAACAGAGGCGAATGTAAAAGCATTGCAGAGTTTTCACGTTGGTTTTCCTCATTTTACACCTACCTCATTTAAGAAATACATAAAAAATTACACATGATGTTAATGAGTGTGTAATGTACACAGGTGTAATGTGGATAAAAAGCAAATGGTTAGAAACAGTGGAGTTTTTAAACTATAAACATAAACAAACAGTTATCTCAGGAGGCTAAAAGCATAGGATCTGAAGTTCAAACCTAGCCATGTGAAAATGAAATTGAAAAAGAATCACACTTAAAATGGCATGAAAAAGAATGAAATTTGGCAAGTAAGTAATCCAAAAACTGAAGTGAAAACTAAAGCATTGCTAAAAAAAGTTAAAGACAATGGCAATAAAGATTTTAGGAATTAAACAGAATGAAACTATGACAGTAGTTTTTATTGTTCATGGGATGAGATAAAGTATCCTTTGCATTTTACAGAGCCCAAAGTGATCTATACATTTATTACAATTCTCATCAACCTCCCAACACGGTTATGTTTTCTTTTACTTTTGCAGAAATGGAAAAATGTTCTCTAAACTTCTTATGGAATGTCTGAGGACCCCAAACACAAAAACAATCTTGAAATAGAACAAGGGTGGAAGTCTCACATTTTCTGATTCACAAATAGTACAGATGCTCCTGGATCAGTGTCCTGCTAGGCCCACCATGAATTGAAAATGAATCAAACACCTCTTACCTGCTGAGCAGCACAGCGCTGTGGCACCTGAAGGGCACCAGTGCTCCATCCTGGTGACCCTCTGATGTACTGGGAGTTACACCCACTGCCACTGCCCAGCATGCCCAGAAAGTGGTGCACACTGGTAGCTTAAGAAAAGGGGCAAAATTCAAAACTGGAAATAGATTGTCTACAGAATGTATACGGCATTTGTATAATCCCAAAATCCTGCTATCTGCCGAAAGAGGAAGGAAACCTGAAGACACTCCCTCAAGTGGAATAAGTCAGTCAAACAGACACACAGACAGGATTCCACTTTGATGACTTCCCTATGGATATCATTTTCACAGATACAGGGGTGGTGGTTGCCAAGGGGTGGCGAGGAGGGCACAGGCGCTGCTGTGTGAGGAGCTGAGGGCTTCAGCTTTCCGTGGTGAAGACAGCTGCGGGTGGTCAGTGAGCTCTTTGTCCATTATTAATACATCTGACAGCACTGCAGAACGCTGGAAAATGGGTAAGGTGAGGCTGGAAGTGGAGCTGACTGGCAGAGCATCTGCTGGCTGCACACAAAGCTTAGAGTTTGACCCTCAGCATGAGCAAAAAAGAAAAAAGTAGTAGAGGAAGATGCTAAAGGTTTGGTAGATGTCATTCCACAACAAAATTAAAGCATGAGGATACTCCTATGACTGTGAGCATCTTGCAGTAAGAGTCTGGCACAGGACAGACTCAATTACCATGGGAGGCTCCTGCATTGAACACTGCATGTGCCAACACACACATTTGTCTCCTAGTGGGCAGTAGGGAAGCTTCTAAGCTTCCTAAAGCTTTGACTGATTCCCCCTGATGGGATGATCCTGAAGGAGCTGTAGCAAAATGTCACCAATTATGCCAGTAGCCTGGCCTAAGTGGGTCCTGGACTGCCTCAATATGACCCAGAGGGGATGGAAACTGAGTCCCTGAGGTCAGCCATGTCTGTACACCGTGCCAATGGAATGCACCTCAAGAAAACCCCTGGACACCATGGCTGGACTGCATTTGCCCTGATAAGGAGTGCCCACTGTGTCAGGTACCCCTTGTGGCTCGGAGAACTGACCCTCTGGGTACTCTCGTCAGAAAGCACTGCTAAATCTTTTATCTGACTTTCTGGACCCCAACCCTGTGCCTTTCATGGCCCCTGATTTGGACGTGTATTTTGTCACTATAATAAACCATAACAACGAGTACAACAACATTGCCATGCCTACTGTATTTTCTAGCTACTCACTGAACTGAGGGTGACCCTGGGGACCTCCCACACCATCTAGCCCCCTTTCAGGGATTGTATTTATTCCTGAGAGAAACCTCTTAACACTCACTCACCACTTACCTGACACCCATGGAGCTCAGACTGCTGCTTAGGGATTGCCACCAACTCACAAGCCTGTCTTCGGTCTCCATGGGTGACCTGGGTGAGTTGTCACATACTGAGTATAAGCAGATGCACTCCTCATATGGTGACTACAGTGATGAGGTCAGAATAGGGCAGGGAATCAGGGCTGGCTTTAGACATGTGGAAGAAAGCATCACACGTGGGCTTTGAGTAAGGAGGACTCAATACAGACACCAGGTGAGTCACAGACTGGATTATTGTACATTAAGTCCTTAATCTAGGGTACAGTGGGGCACAGTGCATCCTCTAGCGGAGCACAGCACAGAGCTGGTAGGGGGATGGAGTCACTACGAAGGCAGGTACACCGCGGTCACTGGGCCGGGGCTGCCCTTCAGGCACCGAGAAGCTGAAGTGCTGCAGCAGGGAGGTGAAGAACAGGAAGAGCACCATGCGGGCCAGGGGCTCCCCGAGGCATATGCGGGGACCTGTGGGTGGGACAGGGATCAATGAGACTGAATCCAAAGCCTCTCCCCACTGTGGCACCCAGGAAGGGGAGAGAAAAGATGGTCCACTGCAATCACCTGCGGAGAATGGCATGAAGGCCTCACGTTTCACAAAGCGGCCCTCAGCGTCCAGGAAGTGTCCTGGGTGGAAGTGCAAGGGCTTCTCCCAGACAGTCTCATCCTTCAGCACTGATGACAGGTTGGCGAGGAGCGTCGTGCCCTGGCAGGAGACACATGGCATGAATGTGGCCTGAGATGCAGGCACAGGAACCCTGACACTTAATATCCACAAGCATATTGTATGAGGCTCACAGGCAGGTGGGGTACAGAGTCACAAGGAGACTCTCAACTATCTATTAGGCCAAGAAGTTTCTCAGGACTATCCATGAGCACATGGCAAGGCCAGAGGACAGGGATTCCAAGGGTGCCCACAGTCCCAATTTTCCCTGTGTGCACAGGATCCTCTAACAACTCATTACTTGGGTTAATTCATCCTCCAACTACACTGGGGGATCAGCGGGCATAGAACAGCATGGGCTGCTGTACCACTCACACAGGTTGGGCCTGGCAGCAGCAATGGTAACGTGACCCAGGTGACAGAACACTTCCTGGCCACACCTGGGAGTGGCCATGCTAGGGAAGGAGCACCCCAAACCTACCTTGGGGATGAGGAAGCCTTGCACCTCAGTGTCACGAGATGTCATGTGGGGAACACCCATTGGGACGATGTCTGCAAAGCGCTGCACCTCATGAATCACGGCATTGGTGAAGGGCATGCGGGCCTGGTCCTCCATCTCTGGGCGCCGCCCCTGCCCTATTACTTCATCAATCTCCTGTTGCACACGACCTGGACAGACAAGGGTTCCCACGGCAGGTCAGTCCCTCGAGACTAGACTCTGACCCTCTCCATGCCTTGTTCAGTGCTGTGTCCAGTTGAGCTGAATATCACATTTCATGTGCCATGGCCAAGCCTCAGCTTGGAACCATAAGTTTCTAAGATCAGCTGTCCTCACTTATCCTCCATTGAGTTCCCATCCATTCCCAGCCCAGCTCACGCTGCACATCTGGGTGCAGGATCATGAGGAGTAGAGCCCAGGACAATGTGACTGCTGAGGTCCCCATTCCAGCAACAAACAGCTCAAATAGGAGTAGACGAAGGTTCTGATCATTGAAGGTGCTCTCGGAGTTCCCCTGGGCCTGAGACAGGCAGAGAGGGTGGCCTCAGTGGAAAGTGGGACGAATGGCACAAATGTCCCCATGCACCACCCCTCAGCACAGAAGCTGGGGCTCTGGGAGATGCTGAGGCCCCACCTGGCCTCACACCTCCCGGAACACTTGGCTCACACACCCTGATCCCTTCTCACAGCCCACTCTCACCTTATGCATCTCGGTCAGGAAAGCATCAGTCAGATCTCGGGGAGGCTGGTCTGGGGCCCAGCCTGTGTTGTGCTCAGCCAACAGCTCATTATTCAAGGCCATGAAGGACCTCTGTGCAGGCAGGACTTTGGCAGCCACCCATGGGATGCGTAGGAGCAGTGGCATTGAGTTCACTACCTGTGACAGCACAGAGGCAGCCTGGGTGCTTCCTGTGCTCCAGACCCACAGGTGCCATCTCACACCCAGCCCCCTCCATGGTGACACAAGGCCTGGCACTGCACACCTTTGCCTCAATCCCTCCACAGTGCCAGCGTCAAAGCTCTCTCCTGCTGCTCAGCTGCCACAGGAACCACCTACTACGGAAATCTCATGAGCTTGTGTCATTTCCAGCATGGACACAGGCTCTACTCCTCTCTGCAGCCCTGACCTCAGCCACCTCTCCCATTACTGTTGTCTGATTCGCCACCACCAGCCCTTTCTCCCTGCAGTGATCCTCCCTCATGCTTTCTTCCCATCCCTCCTGCAGGCAAATTATCCTCTCAGAGCCCATCTGGAGGACGCTGTCCCTCTAGACTCCCCTCAATCCTGTACCTGAATCTTTAAGCTGAAGTCCTCCCTCAAGCTGTCTTCCAGGAATTCTAACAGCCTGAGGACCATCGGGTCATCATAATCGAAGCGGCGCGCATAGATGAGGGAGGAGATCACGTTGCATACTGCTTTGTTCAGCAGGGCTTTGGGGCAAAAGGGCTGTCCTGCAAATAGAAATGAAGGTCGTTTTGCTGCCACTTCTCTCTAACCCTTCTGTACACAGTCCCTTCCTTGTGTCCCTGAACCCATCACCCACCAGCATGGTTGGCGAAAGCAGCACACAGGCAGGCGGCCTCCTCGGTCACCCACTGCTCCAGGGACTTCTTCCCCACGCCGAAGTTGCGCAAAGTGGACACAGAGAAGCGTCGCTGCTCACGCCAGGCAGGTCCATAGTAGGCTCCAAAAACGCCTGGAATGTGGAGCTCAAGTCAGGACCAGAAAGTACTAACCTGTGCCCTTGCATCCTCCCCTCACTCCTGGCTGCTGAACAGACACAAATTTTGCCTCCACCACTGTGAAACAGATCCTTTTCTGACCTCATACCCAGAGGACAGGGATTTACATTGTCCCTTGAACATATTACTGTGCACCTTAGACCTGTGCACTTGTCACTACCCCAAGGATACCCTGATGTCATCTGTGACCTATGGACCTTTACCTTGGGATTTTGGTCCAAAGCCCAGTAGTGTACTGCTGGGCAGTGTGGGCCGATCTGAGGTGTCCTCGCCGTGGTTCACCAGAGCTTCTCGCACAGCCTTCACTCCATTGACCACGACCACAGGAGTCCAGGCAAACTGCAGGCTGAACACGTCCCCAAACCGCTGTTGCAGCTACAAGTGGAGGGATAGGGCACCTGTGAACCTGGGACTGTTGGCATAATGCATGTCCCAGCCTCACTGCCAAGACATGGAACCGCAGTTCAAGCAGTGCAAACACCAGATCTACTGCCTCCTCTCTTCTGTTTGCCGTTTTCTTCTCCTTTTTCTTTATGAGAGTGATGAGGGCGCTCTTGGCCTCATTCTTGCCATACCAGCACTCTGGGCCAACCACTGCCCAACACCTAGCGTCTGCAGGCTCCGGCCATATATCTTAAGTTCAGAACAACCACCTTACACCCGATCTGACAGCCCAGCTAGGGCCCCAGCAGAGTGCAGAAAGTGTTGGTGAAATATGGACACAGGGTCTTAGCCTCTCTCGTTCCTCAGATGAGGAAGCTCAGGTTCACAGATGGAAACAGACAGGACCAGGATTCAGTGTAGGCAAAAAGATTTGATATTAGAGATAGAACTTCTTTCAATATCAATTTCCTGAATCCAGTGCTGCTTAGGATTCCCTTGCCCTCATCCCCAGCCCCAAGCCCTTCCCTCTGATGTCATCAGAATGGTCTCAGGTGCTATGAAAATTCTGATCCATCAAATTGGATGCCAGTCCCACTACCCCCTCCTACTCAACTTCTCCTTTGTCCTCCCACTCCTCTCATTATGGAAAGTTCAGTGTTCTCTGCCTGGGTGGAGTCCTTCCCAGGACAGACCCTCTACTTCCCTCCTCAGATAAAACCATGTCCTTGTCCAGCATTGGCTTCAAGCACCACTATTACTAGAGGGGTGTCACCTGATCTTTGCTGCTCTCCACCACCAGCTCCCCCACCTTGTAGCAGGAGTACGCCATATCCTCAAAGTCCACCTGCAGCAGGTTACCAAGTCCAGGGACTGGAACAGGGCCTGGTGGGTAGCGAGCAGCCCAGCGTTGCCACCGGTGCATCAAGTCCACCAAGAGCAAAAAGACGGCCACGGCCAGAGCCACAGAGAACAGTGCATCCCCAGTCAGCAGCCCCATGGCTGCCAGCAACTCTGATCAAAAGGAGCTTTTACCACTCTGGGAAGTTAGAGGCACAGAGCACATTCTACCTCTCCCTGCATATTGGAACTGGCCAGCTGTCCTCTTATAAAGCAGCTAAGCCTGTCCTTTGTCCTGTGCTGTGGGACAACCTCTCCATTCATTGTGCAACCAAGGGGGCAGAGAAGTACCAGAACAGAAGTGTTCCACAGGTCGTAGCCCTTCTGCCTCTTCCTTTTGATACACAGGGCAAGGTAGAGTCCTGGGAGGAGCTCCATGGCACTAGACACATTGGGTATGTGGGTTTCAGCCTTAACCCATGGTGGATCACTGCTCTGAGAAGCACAGTGAGAAGCAGACGTCAGGGAGCTGACAGACTGTACCAGCAGGACTTTAGTGACATGAGACGGCTTGTCACACTGCAGTAAGACTGTTTTTGCAGACTCCATGGAGAACGCTGCTGCCCAACAGGGATTAAGTCGTGTACAAGGATTCTGAAAACTGCCTCCAGCAGGTTCAGTTGCTTTATGGCCTCTCTGAGCAGGTCACAGACAGACAAGTGAGCGTGTGCCTATTTACCAAGCGAAGCACACAAGCCCACTCACACACAGGGAACCTCAACCGCACCACCCTCGAAGACAGAAACCCAAGATCTGTTCTCATACTACCAATGAAGGGTCTCAGCCCTGAGCCATGCTCATGTCAGGTCTGCTCCATGAGCCCCAGAGGGTTCTTCCCTTAGGAGACGAGACCCTGTGGGCCACACAGCCACGGCACTTCAGGTTACTTTTCCTTCTGATTTAAGCAAAGCCTTGCTGAGACAGATGTAAGATTTTTTTTTCTTTTTTCTTTTTGACACACGCTCTCATTATGTAGTTCAGGCTGGCTCGAGCTCACTTTGTAGACCAGGCTGGTCTCAAAATTGCAAAGATGTCTTGTCTTAGCTTTCTGAAGGCTGGGATTATGGGTGTGCACCACCATGCCCAGCGAGAGGTAAAATTCTTCACTCCTTATTTCAGTTCACATTTTATTCGACTTTCCATGGAGGAGCCTGTGCTCTTCTTGCAAGCTTCTTGTTTGAAAGCCTCATCTGCAGATTCCTCTGAGAAGGCCAGGCAACTTAAAAATAATTTAACAAATAACAATGCAAAACCCATGAGGGTCTAGTGAGTATGTGTCACAGTAGATACACAGTAGGTCTTCTGGCTACAGAAGGGGAGGCGAGAGGGTTGAGTAAAGAGACTTTTAGGGCAAAAAGGAGGTTAGGAAGGGGTTTCCAGGCCAGGAACAACCATCATTCATAGTCATAGGAGTAGCAGGTCATGCTCAAGGGCCCTGACTCTGGCCACACCTGCAGCTCCTGGGCTCCTCAGATGGTGTTTTGCTGCAGTTTCTCCCCACATCCAAGCAGCACGTGAAGCATGCACTGCACCAGTGGACGAGAGCCAGAGTGCCCCTCACTCAACTAGGCAGCGGTTCCTCAGCCCACCATCCCTATTTAAATTTGGTGCATCTCAGTCAGCAGTGTGACTGATAAAGGACATAACAGGCTTTTCGATTTCCCGACACCTTGACCAGGTGGTCACTATCGGTAATGACAGGGTGCATAGCACTTATAAGCCAACAACATCATCTACTGGTGAAGAGTTAGGGGAAAAGTCTGAGCTCAGCCTCATGGCCAGCACCTGTCACTGCCCTGTTCAGCCCCACAGATTGCAACACCGACTTTCCCAAACATTGCTGAATCCATGTGTTTCAGCACTGGACCTCCTGTGCGACTCCTAATCAAAAATCCACCACCCATTGCCCCTCAACCGGAGCACAGCCACAGGACATTCCACTGGCTTGTGCAGGAAAGTGGGTATTTTGTGTAAAAAATGCATGTGGGAAAAACACTGTTGCTGAATCACAGTCAACACAGTGAGAGAAAAAAAAAAACAGCAGAGTACAAACCCCTGTGGGGTTAAGAAACAAACTTTCACCCCCCTCTAACTTTGACCCTTGCATTCAGGGAGGCAGGGTACACAGGGTGCTTTGCATGATGTGGTAGCACTGTGCAACTGACACAGAAGCTCTACCCACTTCCTGAATACAGGGACAAGTGTGTCTGGTACACTTTAATTCACAGGAGAACGGGCCCAGTAGGACCCAGCAAAAAGGCCCACACTGCAAGGAAATCTGCTTTCCAGAGCACAAATCTCTGCTTTCAACCAGGCTCACATCTTCCTCTTCTTCTGAGTTGGAATTCTTCTCAAATCCCAAATAGGTACTCTTGCCGTCTACCCTACCTATTCCTGCAGCCCTACTCTTTCTCCTTGAAGGAAAAGCTCACACAGAGGAACCCAGATCTGCATTCACTAGAACTAACATGTGCTGAACATGTTGTGTGCCAAGCACACTGCACTGTTACAGAACTCCCACAATATCTCCTTGTGGTGACAATGCACAGTGCTGGATTCCCCAGGGACAGACCAACCTGGGGCTCACAGATCTCACAGAGCAGGAGCCTAAATAGGGGACAAGAAATATTTCTGCAAAAATGATCCAGTATTTCTAAAACACATCAATATGCTTCAGTAACAGCCTCTTTAATTGTATTTCAGTCTCTCCACTGGTTCATTTTCTCCAAACACTGGGGAGGTGGCTTTAGCACTGACACCTGATTAGACCCTTATCTGGCCTATCACACAAGTGATGATACCCTGGGAAGACAGACAGAGACACTTCCAGCTTGGCCTTTCAATTCTAAGTCCTGGACCCACCATCATCCCCAGAGCACTCTCTGATAAATCACAGAGCAGTAACCATCAGCTGTGGTGCCACCTAGACCTGTTTCTCCCTCCTGGAGGAGACAGAGCTCTGCACGGGCCCCTGGCTCACTCTCCCTCAGCTCTACAGCACTGTATTATACTGTAGCCTCCACATCCATTTTTATGCCTCAGATCCAGAATGTTCCCAAAAGTCTCAACTATTAACAGGTTGGGTTTTTGGAAGGGGATGGAATCATGGGGTGCTCATCAGTGGAGTAGTGCACAGAAGAATCCACAGTGAAATGTGCTGTCAGCATGTGAGGCCTTGGGAAGAGTGAAAACTGGCATTGTGACCTAGCACAGTCCTTTCCTGGCTCTTCTCCTCTGTCTGTGCTTCCACGCTGCCATGATGCAAGCAGCTTTTCTCTGCCAATTCTTCCATCAGGCCTTTCCTGCACGGCAGACTGTAGACTGTGCACTCAATTCTCTAAAAGCTGTGAGGTAAGGAATCCTGTTGTTATGGTTTATATATCAGCACTCCAAACTCCCACAAAGCTTCATGCACTCATGGACCCGGCCAAACCTAGCATTTATGATTTGCTCATTGTCTGGTGCTCGGTTTGGTGGTATGAGTGCTATGTTCGCCCAGAGTGGAGCCAGCATACAGAGTAATGGCCGGAAGAATGCATGTCTTTTTCTTGCTGGTTCCCTCTTGCTGTTTATGGCAGCCCCACTATGCCACCTTGCTGCTTGGAGCCAGCTGAGTATGGACTGAAACCTCCAACCTGTGAGAAATAAACCTTCCCTTCCCTAACTTTGGGCATCAGGTATTTTCTTTCAATGAGAGAGTAAAGTAACCAAGACACATGTCCTGCTTTCATTTCTGGTTATGCAGTAATGTGTCCAGGGGAGGGAAAGAAACTGAGACAGCCTCTGAAAGAGATCACAGCCAGAGACTAGTGAGCTGGCAGAAGTAGAGAAAGAAGCCTGCTGTTCTGGAAGCAGGCACATTTCTATTAGGGACCACAAATTATAAACTGAGACCACAGCCTGTTTGAGACACTGCTGGCCCTGTTTTTCACTCCAGTCAGATGTAGGAACTCCCCTTCAAGCACAATTTGTGCCTGCTGCTTTTATCGCACATGTTTTGAATCCGCAAAGAGAAAGTAAGTACACTCCTGCTCAATCGCACTGACACGCATACAGACTCCATAGAGGGGAACTTTCCTGAGAGGCTGAGGGATTTAGCACACCAGTTCCACAGGCCTTGATTATGGCAAACCTGGGCCTAGACGAACTACTGTGTGGAATCTCGCACTGCCGTATATTATGAGGGTCAAATAGATGATCATAATATGTGCCCCACTAAGGACACTGTTAATATGGTGGCTGAACAGAGGGGCAGCCTGAAAGTTTCAATATGTTTTTACAATCCTTATATATCCCTGTACAGAACTACAATCTAGAATAAAGCTTCTCTGGACTCATGCTTCTGGGTCAGAGCCATGGCAATGGCTAATATAGTCCCCATAATCCCTGGGTTGTTCTTTCATGTCAGCATCGGGGACCCCAAAGCAGGCTGCCTAAAGATACAAATGTTTGAAGATGTCATACTGAAGACAGCCAAGAACTTCAGGCAGTTCTGCACTAGAGAATTCACAAAAGATGGGGCTCCAATAGGGTATAAGGAAAGTACTTTCCACAGTCATAAATAATTTCATGATTGAGGGTGAAGATTTTGTTAGTGGAGATGGTACTGCAGTTGCCAACATTTACCGGAGCCCATTTGCAGGTAAAAATCTGAGACTCAGACCCTCAGCTCCTGGGCTACTTTCCATGGCAAATAGTAGTCCCTGTACAAATGGCTGTCAGCTGTTTATCACCTGCTCCAAGTGGGCGGGAAGCATGGAGTGTGGAAAAATCCTTGATGGTGTGCTAGTGATGAGGAAGACTGAGGATGTACCTACAGGCCCCAGCAGTAAGGACCTGTGGTGATCTCAGTGTGGGGAAATGCAACTGTGATACAAGGTGATTCATAACTCAAAAAAGTTACATGAATCCTTGTCTTGGTGAAGTCTGCTGTTCTCAACCTGAAATGCAAACAAAAAATTTCCACAGGTGACCATTCCACATTCCAGAGGCCAACTGCACCAAGACTTTCTAATAAACTGTCATTTTAGAATATTGGAATTGTTCCTTATGTGCACTGTCCAATATGATTACTGCTGGCCCCTGTGACATTTCAGCACTGCATGTGGTTTGGGGAGGCCTAAGGGGAAATGTGTGACTGAGGAACACATTGTTTAATATGTTTAAATTTTAATTTTAAAGAGTTTTTTGAAGCTGCTGTATCAGAGAGTAAGCTGTAAACTCAGGTTTCCTCCAACTCCGTCTCCTAATGCTGACTAGCTCAAGACACTGTATCTGATAGCTAATGCTTAGGGTCACCACAATGAAAGCAGTTTTTTGTTTGTTTTGTTTTGTTTTTGTACCAGGGATCTAACTCACAATCTTGCACTTGCCAGGCAGGCACATATAAGCTAAATGCCCAGCCTGCAGTGATTTTTTATGCTAAAAAAGAATAAAGCTTCCCTTTCATAGATTGAGTCAATTGCATATACACAAGCAAGAACAGTTACTAGTAGGTGTTTAATGGTCCTGGGACATCTGCCAGGAGTGTCGATATCACTTAATGTAACTGAACCTTGGGCTCACACTCTGATGTTACATATTGACAGCACTTAGACAATCACCTCGTACACAGACCTAAAGAACTGATAGGCCCGTTGTCTAGTAATGCTCACCGCCAGTGTGGCTGTCTCCTCTGCTGTCCTCCCTCCTCCATCCACACAGCTCACTTTATATGTAATTGGAGAAAAACAAACAAACGACAGACCAGGCTTAAAAGATAAAGCATGCAATAGACACCAAGCAGCAAACACAAATGAGTCTTCTAGAGACCATGGTCCTTTAGATTGGACATCAAATTAAAAGTGTAGTGACAGTAAGGCCTTCAGTGTCACTGTGTGGTTCGTGGATTTTACATAACTCCCCTACCCCATCTATAATTGATATGGCCACCTCTGAAAACGTACTAAACACTGACCATACAGTTCCCCTTATGCATTCCTAATTTTGTCTTTTATTTCATTCTGGACCACACACCCCCATGCCTGTAGATGAGGGTCTTGGGCAGGTCCCTAGCAGAATTCCAGTTTGGGCAAGCTCTTTCCAAAATTCCCTCGTGGAAACACAAAGCCTCCTGCCACAACCACTGCCCTGGTTTCTCTGTCCTACTCTCTTCTGTGGACCACAGACCTGCTCACTCCCTCCTCAAAGCTGTGCCTTCTGCCTTCAGCACAAAGACAACAACACAGTGTGTCATGAGATTTTCTATTTAATTTAATGGTTTTGGAGACAGGCTCTCCCTGTATGGTTCAGGCTGGCCTTGTACTCACAGCACTAATCTTGTCTATCTTGGACAGGAGTACTGTGTACGCGTGCCACCATGCCAAGTTTTGAAAATGTTTTCCAAAGTGCATCCTCCGTGAGTAAAAATACACTCCTTTATGGAAAACAGTGTTTTTCACAGCAGAGATGCATTGTTCAGGGTACATTTCCATTCTGTTTCAGAAAAACGAATACTGTGTAGGATGATGGTTTGTAGGATGGTGGAAGGAAACACTTGGACCTAGGGACAGAGCTAGGCCGGAGGAGACTGAAGCCGCTGCCCGCCTTCTCACCATCTCCTGGGTTGGCGCTTCCTGCTACGCCACTCAGGTCGCCTTTTCCCAGAGGAGCGTGGTGCTCAGAGACCCAAGCTGTGAAGCTGCACAAGAAGGATGCTGAGGTGAAGCCTCAAAAGGGGAGATTTTGCCTCAGCCTGCTCCCAGAGTCCTCTGAGACATGTAGTCCGCTAGGGTGCACAGCACCCTCTGGGAATTGTACTCCAGTACTTGGGAGCTCAGTGGCCTGGGGCTTAGAGTGGGAGGGGATACACCTGGCTACTTTGGGCTAAGAAGAAATGCAGTTAAGAGTTTTGAATGTAGTAAGAATGTGGGGAAATGCCAGAGTAACAACTAAGTTCTCACCACTGAGGATGGCAATCAAAAGACTACATGATGACATAGTTAAGTATCGAAAGTACAGTAAATAGACTACCAACCAAATTTTCTCTATGTACCAAGGTATCCATTCACAAATGAAGGAGAGGTCAAGATACTGCTAGTGAAATAAATCTTGAGGGATTTCATTACCAGCTTACCTGCCTGCCTTGGAATATGTTACAGAAGGAACTTTGCAGGATGAAATAAAATTACATTAAACAGTGACTGGGAACAGATGAAATAACACTGGACAAGGTAAGAACTGAGGCAAATGTAAAAGTAAGCACCATACAGTTTTTGCTTTGTTATTCTTCATTTGAACCCCTAAATAATTGAAAACAAATACATAAAGTTATACTTCTATGTTAATGTGTGCAACATACTCAGGTGTAATAAGGATCAATAGCAATATACTGATATCCTGATAGAAATGGTTAAGAACAGCTGAATTTGTAAACAATAAAACACAAATTATTACAATTGATCTCACACACTGGTAATCTCAGGAGACTGAAAGAATAGGATTCAAAGTTCAAGTGTAGCCATGTGAAAATGAAACTGCAAAAACAATCCCACTTCAAATAGTGTCAACTGGCCCTGAATCAAGGCCTGCAGCTTCCTGACACTGCTGGTTTCCAGCAGGAGCCTAAAGATGTCTTTCAATAGTCTGTTGGCTATTAATGAACTTGGGCAGGGAAATGGTCAATTCATTAGAGAGAAACAGCTGGAAACAACTCCTCCTTCCCTGGTGAGCGGCTGTGAGCATGTCAGGCTGTGGTGGTCCAGGACAGGAGCCACTGGGTTTTACTGGGACCCATGCCACGGTAGGAGCTGGAGCTCTGAGAAACCAAGCAACCCCTCCCCGCTGGTGAGCAGCTGTGAGGGCTGAGAATCAAACATCACATATCCCCCCCCAAGCCCCCTGTTAGCAAGTGGGAGCCAGTGCTCTGGACATCCCTTGAGAGGCTGACCATAGGCAATGTAGCAAATAGGGGGGATTTCCTTCTACCTTCTCTTTGAAGGCAAATACTTTTATCCTTGATTTGCTTTGTTCTAATTAATGGTGTTACTTTAGCCTGTTTTGTTTTGTTGAACTTCAATAGACATAGAAGTATGGATAGCTATTTTGGAGAGAATGAGAGACTCTATGACAGCCATTAGTGACTTCCCTATTGTCTGGTTTTGAAGACCTAAAACACCTTCCTCATTCTGTTCGGATCAGTTTCATACTAGGTTGTTTTGTATGAATTCTCTGTATGCAAAGACATGGACAACTATTTGGAAGAAAACAAGAGACAATATGTTAGATACTGAAGATCTCAGATCGTCTAGCTTTCAAATTTATATCTCTTACACTGCTTTCTTATGTCCTATTTTGTCCTATTTTGTTGTGTTTAATTTTACTCCCTTTAAAATAAAAACAAAAAAAGCATCAAAAAGAATGAAATTTGGCAAGTAAGGAATCCAAGGATATACACTGCTGAAAGAAGTTAATGGAAATACCCATAAAGATTTTAGGAGTTAAAATGAAGAAATTAAAGAACAAAGAATCCATGAAAGAATTTTTTATTGCTCATGGAATGGGATAAAGTATTCCTTGTGTTCCATATCCCAAAATGATCTGCACATTTAATAGAACTCCCATCAACATCCAAACACTAGCATGCTTTCTAAACTTCTTATGGAACGTCAGAGGACTCCTGTATTGGTTACTTTTTTCTTATTGTTGAGACAAAATAGCCAGTGCCCAAAAAGAAGGAAGGAAAGGTTTATTTAGCTCACAATTTGTGGAGGTTTCAGTGCACACTTGGCTGGCCCGAAGGCAGGGTGGCATGGTAGAGGGCAATGGTTCATGGCAGTGGAAAACAGCAAAAGTGGCAGGACCAAAAACTGGGGAGCATGGAGAGATGATTCTTTCTGTCCCTTATACAGTACGTAGGATAAGCATCCATGGAAAATGTACTGGAATCATGGACGGTTACTTCTTTTTTTTTAACCAGATGAAGAACAAGTCCTCTGCTTGTAGCCTAGGAAACAGGCCTTCAGCCCCAACTCTTTAACAGTTAATTCTAATCTACCAACTCCAGTGCAACTCACAGCGAGAACAAAGACACTAAAACATATTTATATTTAAGGACATCTAAGAGATCCTGAGTCCAGCCCAAAAGAGGGTTCAGGGAACAAAGGTGATGACCAAGAGCCTAATGTGAATTTTAGTAATTAGTGAAGGGAGTGGCTAAGGATGAGTCACTGTGACAATGGTGGGCATTGTGTTAGTACTATGAGCTGAGCTAGGCAGGAGGCCAGAAAGCACCTTTGCAGTATGCAGAGAGAAGCCTATGCAGAAAGACCAGTTTGCATAACACAATCGAGGTACCAATCAATGTTTTAGGAGGCTGCTGTTTAATTTTATGTAAACTTTCATGCCCTGGGAAGTCATAGCCTCTTATGTTGAGGCTCAACCCAGGTGACAGTGCTCCAGTGTTGGTTCTGCCATTCTGCTAGGCTCAACCATAGAGAGAGACACTGAGATGGGGAAGCAGTTGACTGTCCCTTGGCTTCTAAGATTACACACAGTACCTCACCTAGAGCTATTTACATTGCTTACAGCCAATTGAAGGTAAAAGGAAATAGCTTAGCCAGCTCTGGACATATCAGCACATGAAGAAAGGGTCAGATTTAGTCAAGTGGAGAAAATGGTTCTGTATGCAAAGACAGCCATCAAGGGGGTCACCCAGGTGTTTAAGTGAGGAACAGTCCACTTCCACATCAGTGGTCTCACAAGATTTTAATAGAGCTGAAAACTCTCTATTCATAGTACCATATTACTCATTGTGTTACAGTAGTGATTACCATTCAGCAGAGAAAAAAGTTGTGCACTGGGTATGACCCACACCTACAATCCTAGCATTTTGGGACAGTGTCTCAAACTAAGAGATGAAAAATCACTGGAGATATAGAAGCATGTGAAGTCTGTGAGATCAACTCCTAATAGAAATTAAATGAGAGGACTGGAGGTTTAGCTCAGTGGTGTAAAAGTATCTGCCTTTCAAGTGCAAGGTCATGAGTTCAATCCCTTGTATCTCCCCACAAAAAGAAAAAAAAATGAAATGAAATGAGAAGATGGGAGAGGAAGAGGGAAATGTGTGGGAGGAGGGAAAGGAGCAATAGGAGGAGAAGCAATAGGCAAAGGAGCAGGGATGGGGAAAAAGGCAAAGAACCATAAGCGTCTGTAGCTTAGGAGAATAGACTAGCATTCAGCTGAGAGGTGAGTTGGTATACTATCTAGGTTTGTATATGTCTACTCTAGGATATCATCCAGCAAAGGAATCTTCTAACAATGCTCTTCCCACACTATATGCTTCACAGAATACAATCCATGATTGCATATGGCCAAGTGATTTTCAGGAAATTTGGCAAAACCATTCTATTGGGAATAAGATATCCACATGCACAGGTATGAAGTGTAAACCTTAGAAAGTAGCATACTCAAAATGGGTCAAAGCCCGGATCCTATGAATTCAAATTACAAAACTCTTACAAAAAATATGGGATAAAATCTACATTAGGATTGGCTATGTTGTGCTGGCTACGACATCAACAGCACAAGGCAAGAGAGAAAAATTGGACTTCATGAGTATTAAAACCCATTGTGTCTCCAATGTCACTGTGGCCTTATAGCCACATCATCCTGTATGTGCTCGATCTCATCTGAAATCACTATCAACAGAGGAAACAGGCTGTTACGGTATGTCTACAGATGCCCCCCAAAGTCGCACGTGGCATTGAAGGACAGACTTTAGACACCTGGCTGAATCTTTAGTGATTGGTTCACTGTCTAGTGCTTAGGTAGGGGTATGACAGCTATACCTACTCTAGGGTGGTAGCTCCCATAACATAAGGGAGGAAAACAAGCTTGACCCCCCCCCTTGTTGTTGCTGTCTTCTGCCACCATGACCTTGTTGCACATCTGCTATACCACCCTGACTTGAAGCCAGCTCATTATGGACTAAAACCTCCACAAACAGTGAGGTAAAGAAACATTTCCTCCTTTAACATCAGGTATCATGTATTTTGTATCAGCAGTGAGAAAAAAAACCTAAGTGATACTAGAGTTGACACCATAAAGTTGGTTTGCTGCTATGAGAATACCTGACCCTGTGGTTCAGGAGATTTGGGTGATGGCTTGTGGAAAGAAATTGGAAAGTTTCAGAGATCCTGGCTGAAAAAGAGCTGGAATGCCTTAAGCTGTTCTGTATGGGAAATTCTGGGAAAAGCCCCAAAGACCAGAAGGATGATAGAAATCCTATTGGTAACAACCAGGCTCAGAAGGTTTCTGCTGGGAAGGACTGTATTGGTTTTTTGATTTAGGACCATGTGTGTTATGGCTTGGGAAAAAGTTTGTCTGCATTTTGCTGATGTCTAGAGACTTTCCCTGAGACTGAGACTAAGGGCACAGGACTAATGAATGTGGAAGAAGAAATTTCAAGGGAGTCTAATATTGAGGGGGTAGCATGGCTACATTGGGGGCTTTTAGCCAGATTTATGTTGAGCATGAACAAACAGTCTAGAGACATGATTGAAAATGCTGAGTTTGGTCCCAAAGAAAGCTTCACTAAAGCTGTGAACTGCAAAGCTACAGTAGAGATTTGGAATGCTGAGAAGCAACAGGAGAATAAAACAGGTGGCCTGAGGGCATCAAAGGAAGCAGCCAGTTTCCACCCTTTGCAGCCTCAAAACTGCAAAAGAGAAAGACTTTGTTTTAAGAGGAAAAGCATGGTACAGTTATCTAGAGAATTTGTCCCTCAGAATTGGATTCAGAGTATTCAGCTATCTAGGCACTCAAATCCTACAGCCAAGAGTGAAGGAAGCCTGACTACTGCTCCAGATGTGCACAGATATGATGAACAAAGAAACAAGTACACAGCTTAACAGACCAAACAAACACCTTGCAAAATCAGACTGTATTCAAATATACTTTTGACCAAATTGAATTCTAATAACATTTTACAATTTTAGAAGTTATAACAATAAATAGACTTGTCATCTTTTGTTGTAGATCAATTAGCTGTGATAGCCTACAAGAAAATTCGGAAGGAATAAAATATTTTCTATATAATAATGTATATTTTTGTACTTTATTTTGTCTAAAGAATAATAATAATAACTTTTGTGTCACTAGTTTCTTCCATGTAGCTTTTAACTCAGTTATCTCTATACACTCAGTCACCGCCTCAGACATTTGACTCCTAGGTTTAGTTACCATGTCCCAGGCATTCTGGGTCCATTCCTTTAATTGGTCTCAGGTGGGGTCTAGCTCCATTGTCTATTAGTTGTGCTGGTCTATCAGGCATCACTGTCATATGACTAAGCATCTCTTTCTTGAGAGGTGGAATCAACTATTTCTCTAAGTCTGGGTCCATCATATAACCACACAGAATGCTCTGGTACCCAGGAAGACCATTCAACACTTTCTGGAAAATCACAAATATAGGGCTGACCCCAGAATAGCATGGAGCTGTGTGTCTTCCTCTGTCCAGTATGAACATCTTTCCAAAGAACCCTTCCTAGGTTTTTTGTTATCCCTGATTTAACTGTCTTTCTGCCATTGTCTTTTCATCCTTTGTAGGATTTAAAAAGCTAATAGTACACACTACTAAATGAAGCCTACTAGGAGGTGTAAATTGTATAAGAAATTCCCTCATTTGTTTTTGTAATTGAATTTT